GAAACATACTACCAGTAGAAATACATTGCTTTCAAAATCGCTCTGTGTCGAATCAATAGATTATATTTCGTGACTATAACACGAAATGCCGTGAGTGCTTCATCCTCTGAACACCACAGGATGGTGACTGTAACGCACATAACATAGGTACGCTCCTCTGAAATGATTGTCCACTGCAATTATTATTATCCCTCAATCGAGTTCGCTATTCAGCTCGCTAACGTTAGCTTAAACAAACGTAACACGCAACGTTAGCATAATCTAAAATGCGTGCGTAAAACGGCGTACCTTTTATGTGGCTCGTCAGCGCAGACTCTCGCATCGTTATCTTTGCAAACTTTGCAGGAGGCTACTCGTGGGCTTGACCCTCGTCTTAGCCATGGCTTGTATTTGTCTTCTGCTAGCCAACGCTCGTTGAAACTGCAACCTCCTGGCACACATCTATCACTCATCAGAATGCCCAGGTCACACGTAACACAAACACTTGCAGGTCGCGCGCATAGCGCGGGAAGGCCGCAGCGGATTATTTTCTTTTAATCTAAAAAGCGAACTATTCAGTCAGACAGCAATTTATTGTAAAAGTAAAGCATTTACATTTTCAAGCACATTATCTCAATTTCAAGCACCATTCCCAAAATGCAAGCACTTTCCCAACCTTGAAAACACCACGTCAAATTTCAAGCATTTTCAAGGATTTCAAGCACCCGTACGAACCCTGGTCATTGGTTGTGTCTGTGTTTCTGAAAATAAGACTACACCACATTGCCAAACTCACCTCTCTTGACCTGCAGAAAGGGAGCACGAGAAAGAAGCTCTGCAAAACAGTCCTCTTTCAGGGCTTTTAGCTCATTTAAACTTTCATAAGCAACTTTGTGTAAATATGGTTTGGGGCGGGGTGGTGTCATGTTCTTGTGTTTAACTTGAAAATTTACATTTTTTATATAGATGTAGATTTTCATTTTTTCTGACAGAGATATAGATATTCATTTTTACTGATATATAACTTCTGTCTATGTATAACGTATTATTGTTTCTTCATTTTTCAACTTATTAAAATAGCTGAGTAGTAGGCCTACACAATCTGCTTCTGCTTCTCTATAGACCATTAGTATTTTGGTATATGTGTGTGTGTGTGTGTATATATTAGCCTATATAATATATCGTGTGTCTTTTGCAAAATACCTATCATACATAACATATAGGCTATCAAATACCAGAATATTCTATTGCTGTTAAGCCTACTATGAATATTAAAATACGCCGAATCATGTGTCCGGTATCATGCCTATACTGTATGACGTTTGCAGAAAAAAATGCCCGTGAAAATCAGTTTTGTATTCAGTGAGTTATGATTGATTAAATGCGCTGACACTTCATTGCACCTGCCAGACAGATTACACTGAGTGGAGCGGGTGACCGGTCCAAGATGGCGGCCCCACGGCTCGTCAGCGCCAATAGGCAGTAGCGGTCGATGCGGCGTCTACTCTTTATATGTCTATGTTCACATAGACGACAAATAGTTTCATTCTGTGTGAAAGATTGTTACAGCCGCTGTTTTCCTTGTGCCATTAACTCTGTTTGTGTGTGCATATATAAATGAGCTGTGCAGTTCCTCTGCTGTCATTGGCCGTCCCGACCTCGCAACATCCGCGGTGATTGGACGGACGTCACCCAATCCCCGCCCGCTTCTGCCACGTCATCCGGGGGAGGAGTACAAAGGCCGGGCCGGACATCATTCAGGAGGCTCTGTATTGTGGGACAGACGCCTCAAACCTCTCATTGTGTTACTGCCATATTCTGTGCCTCGTTAGACTGCCTAGCAGTGTGTTCAGTAGGGTTTCTGTGCGAGTACACTGATTAGCAGTGTGTCGTAGTGTTCTGTGTTTAGTATAGGGTGTGTGTGTGTATTGCTTAGATCCAGGTTGCTTAGCTCCTGTAGAACAGCATTTAGGATTATTGACATTGTGAAACAGCTTAGACCCAGGTTAGCTTAGCGCCTGTAGATCAGCATTTGTGGGGGTATTGCTTAGACCCAGGTGATTAGCACCTGTTGATCAGCAACAGCTGTGTTCCCACATAGCCTCATTTTGTTTATTGTTTTGTTCCACTTTAGAAGTGAGGTACTTTTCTTTTCTGTTGTATAATACTGCGCAACTCTCTTTTGGAGTTCCCCTTTTGTTAAATAGTACCAGTTTGGCCCTTTGTTTGTGTCAAACTGTTTGTGTACATTATTGTGTTCAGTTTTGGTTACAAATAAACCACCGGTAACATATACCAATTCCAATCTGGTCGTGTCGTGTCCCTTCGGTCCCCCTAGCTGCCCAATAGGGAACGTAACAAAGATATTCTCTAATATGGAACACAAGTGCAAATATGTTTTCTGGCCCCGTTTATGTTTTGTTTTATAGAGATATTTGTCTTTGGCTCTAGGACTCTAGTGTAAAGAGGTTGCTGCAATATTGTTTAGCAGAACCACTTTTCAAAATTGGCAAGTCCGTTGGCAGAGAGCTGCAGAATCTCAGCAGAGCTCTTAAATCAAGAATGTAGCACTCTGCAGAAGCAAGCATGGACGCTTCTTCATCCCATGTTATACATTTCTAGCTAGTTAGTAAGTTTCATGAAAATGTTTCACTGAAAATAATGTAATGTAATAGGATCTAGCTTTACTGTAAAGGTAGAGGTATACACAGTAGTATAATGCAATACAGAAACGTTATCTAGACTAGGTCCATCAGCATTCAAACACCAAGCAGCAAGGCCTGCCAGACCATCATGTCATTTCAGTGTTTGTTTTCACAAGCAAATCAACAATGCATTTGTTTGAAGAAGTTAATGGAAAGTATGGAAACTAAACACAATATTATATAGAGGGATCTGCCACAGCGGATAGTGAACTTTCTAAAATGTGCCAATTTACTCTACAATGCTCAAATATAACTTTATTTTAAGGGTATTTGATGCTTCTACTCAAACATAATTCAGAAGCAAAAATGTGTTTGCTCTACTACAGCTTCATATTAGGATTAATATTGCAAGATATAGTCCACAAATCATCTATCATGAATTTTTTAAAGGTTAAGATAAACTTTGCACAGCAGTAAAAAATAGCTGCAACATTAAAATGGAGACAACAGTGATTATGTGTTATGAAATGGGCCATTGTGCATAGTGACCAAAGTTACTTTTACGTTAATTGAAGGGCATGTAGTTGTCACAGTCACTTACAGTATTTACAATGTGACATGACTACTTTTACTTATGTTATTTAATATAGTTTTAGCGTCATGTCGAACTACGTCATATACCACATTAACTGTCGGGCTGTTAGCATGCAGAGCAGACACTTACTTTTAGCCGAGAAGCTAGTTGCTGTGCCTTTCCGAAGAGGGTTCCTGGTGCGATATTGTATCCGGTTGCCATTTCAGGATCTTTGTTATCCAGCAGCGTCCTTCTGGATTCTTTGTAAAATAATTCCATCATGATAAGTCGAAAAATACATGTCTTCTGTCTTTTTTTAAACTATTGTTCCTTGTTGAAAACAGTTCTAGCTGTCTTCTAGCAACTACGGATTTCGATTATTGAGTCTGTCGACCAATCACAGCAGTCTGTTTTTCCGACTTGTTGACCAATCACAGGCTGCGGTCCTGATTGTGTGAAAGCTCTCAAAGTTGTGCCCAATGGAAAATAAACAACTTGATAATAAAAAAAAATACTTTATTTGATAGTACTATATAATACAACTTCTATATCTTAAGAGAATATTTCCCTGATTTAGCATTTCAACTTGCTCTTAATGTTTCATAACATTCCCTTTGGAGCCATGAAAGGCTCAAACAGCACTGCGCTGTATGAGTAACTTTGATGAGTACAATTTGAGGATGAAGATGTTTGGCCATTTCCTGAATACTACATCTCTGTATGTATGTATGCATGCATGCATGCATTGTTGTAATGTCTAGTTGAGATAAAACCTTACTGTTTTATCTAAGAAGGCCATGAGGCTGTCACCTGCTATATAACCACTTTTCCCTCAAGCATCATGTGCAAGAATATCTTTCCAATTTCATAATTATTTCCTCTTTGCGTCATTTTAATTAAAACACTTCCAAAGTATTTTCAGCTCAAAAGGTGATATAACAACCTTTGCTTGGCTTGTTGCTCAATATACAGTTTATATGTTTCTCTTATAGCCTTTCTTCCCCAAAACTCTCTAAATCTCATATTCCCCTTGCACTGATAATTGATGAAGTTTTCAGTGAAACCGTCCAGAAGGTTTTGTTTCATGCTGTTCTTGGCTTTTTATATTCATGTTCCTGTGTGTGCATGTGCACATTTTGAATTTGACTCACGCTTCATTGCAGCCTTTCGTCATGTCATTGTTTTACTCCGAAACCTTTTATGAAGCTCAGATTGTTTGGGGATTTGGAGACCATCAGCACAATTGACAAAGGCATAATGAATGTTTTTCTATTTTCTCCACTCTCGTGGTTAGTTTGCAGTTTTAAAAAAAGGTTTAGATGCACTGAAGCTGTACATCTCAGCAGATTACATATATTCATAAAGGGAGGTTTAGCATTCTAAATTAAACAAAGCTCTGGAAAAATGAACAGATTTACAGACAAACAAACGGTGAGTAAATTCCCATTTATTTTTACATTTAAAAATGATTCCATTGAAAAACTTGTTTTATGCTGCACATTTAATCTTAAGAAGCAGGCAAGAGGGACAGATAAAAGGGAAATGTGACATCAACTAGAACTTATAGTGCATTAATCATAATGTGAATAACAGAATATTTTATGTCAAATTAGATACAGAAATGTGTGGCTGGGGTTTGCAGCAGGCATATTGACAACAAAATCACATTAACTTTCAGAAGTGAAATATGGATGATACTATATGAAGGCCACAAAGATAAGGGGTACAAAATCATGTTTATAAGCTTTGACAATGTGCAGGAGAGTGGAACTCTACTGGGTAAGAGCCTAATCCAGAGTCACCCTATTCTATAGGAAAGGAGGAGTAGAAGTCCTCTGCAAAGGCTTCTGCTGGTCACTTGAAACACAGGCTTATGGCTATAAAACAGCACACAGGTTTTGTGGAGAGGTCTACACTTGCTGGATTTTCCTGGGCAGCCATTTGAACAGGGTCTTGCAAAGCTTTTTGCTTTTCACCTTTGACTTTGTTAAGTTCTTAATGATGACATTTCTGAGCAGGCTGAAGTTCAGGGGAGGGGATGAGTGCGCGTTGAAAGCATTATTTCCTTTTGTCGAAAGGTTCAGAACTTCCAAGAAGCGTCTTTCCTGCTGCCTGAAGTCATACTCCACACTGGACAGACACAGATGCAGCCCAAAATTACTAAAACCCCCCAAAACAGAGGCTTGAAAACAACACAAAATGTATCAGCTCTTGCCAAAGAATGCATATGAATGCTTAGATTTGTCAAATCTGTATTTCCAGCTTATTTTTTCTATTATGTATCAAGCTTTAGTATTTACGGCTCACTTTGTGGGACTCGTGTGGGAGGATCTGCACTTGTTAGATTTCAAAATGGACGATTGGTTCAGGCAGGAAGACATCCCCCAGCAGGGTGTCCTTTGTGTTTGAAGGTGCACACATTTTGTTCAAATGGCCTTATCTTCCATTCGGCCTTTAAGGACCAGATGGCAACACAAAGCACTCAGCAGATCAACTTATGTAATGTGTTTTTATCATGCAAAAGCAGTTTTGGGAGCAAGTAGATCAGGAGGGATGTGTTGAATATTTCAAGATAAATACCATTTTAGGTCTCGCTTTGTAGAGTGTGAGGTATTTTGTTTTCAGAAGATGATGGGAAGACTTAGATTTCCATAGCCGCCTTTCAAATACAGTATTTCTGGGACAATGCTCTGTAATGTTTTTTGTCTCAACTGATGCAACATTTCCACTAATGGGTGCAAACCAGCATCAAAGTTAGAATATGAGAGCTAAAAACTATTGCATGATATGTTTTCATGCATCACATCTTTAACAAAATGGGCAAGGTATATATAAACGTCTGTCATTCGCTTTTTTTTAAAGTAAATAAAAAGGACATTTTAACATGATTAAATAATTGCTGCAGGATGTGAATACAATACTTTTCAAGATAAGGCTACTTTAGGAAAACTCAGTTCAAGAGCTAAAATATGTATTTACATTTGACACAATATCAAATTATATGCAAATTAACAATGCCTTCATATCTTAAGTGAAGTGATCTTTGTAAATATGTGTTTAAAGTGCAAGCTGCTTTGGCATGACTTGTCCCTTTTTGCTAGTTTAAATTTCAGAGAGTGAATCCTTATCTCCATAAATCTGGATTGTGAATAGCTGGAGTCACATATGGTCAGTGTTTTAATTTGACAGTGTTCCGAAAAGATTTATGATATGCTCAGAGGGGAAAGTAATCTCCCTATGTATTCTGAGCGATGAAACAAATGAGCAGTACAGAGCTTTTCATTTAGTAAGCTGCCCATACAGTAAGTCATTCATTTGAAGTGAGGAGAAGTGGGCAGTCTGACAGAGAAGTGCTCGGTAACTGAAATGGCAAATGGCCTCGACCTTGTTGAACCATGCCTTGAACACAAATGAACTTTGAATCAAATCCATAATTTTAAGTTGCCCTTTGATACAGAGGGACATTCTTAAATATTGATTTATTTTTTGGGAGTATCCTTGTACAAATATCTCAAAAGAGATTGTTTCAGGCCCAACATTATTTTCTTGATCTTAATAAAGGTTGACTGGTCTATAATCAACGCCAAGGCATAACACAATATCATACTATATATTTATTATTTTTTGCAACCATAGTTCTATTTTGGGCAAGAGACCTATTTTCTAGAGCTGCTCTTTTCAATTATCAGTTCAAACACTGCATGCAAGCAAAATGGTCATTTAACTATTATCTCACCTGTACACAATACAAGCAGTCTTCTGGCAGGTTAAGCAGTTGTTGAGGTCCTGTCCAGTGTTGAAGCATTGCCGACTAGGATAAAAGAAAGTAAACATAATTGCATACAATGAATAAGAGAAAACTCCCCCATTCTTTCAGATTCACAGCTTATTATTCTCACCACTCATCCTGTGTGTGTGATATTCTTCCAGACTGATGTTGGCAGCGATGGGCCGTATAACATGCATTATGTCAGACATCAGTTGGTTATTAGGAGCTGGTTATTCTGAAACATGACCTCGGAGGCAGTCACAACCTATTAGCACACTACAGTGGATGAGAATGATTGACATAGACACATTGCCAGAAGGCAATTTTAATTCTTGTTATTTATCCCAGAAGAGTTATACGGCTAAATAAATCTCTCCGAGATATGCCCTCTCGAAATGCCCAAGTAGGTTTCTGTCACACTCATGCACACATTCGCAGGCCTGGTTGCAATGTTTAGTGTTAAGGCTTCACATCACGACACTATGATCCCAGCTTCATAACATCTTGACAGTATGTTGCCCTTCAAAAGACGTTTGTTCAACTTCTTACATCCAAGTGTATCTAAGAAATAGTGCACATAAGAATTGTTTAATCTTGTTAAATATCATATTTGGCCTCAAATCATCTGAGGCCTGGCCCTGCGATCTTTGGCGCACCCCCAAGGGTTAATCCATTATTTCAAAGGTGGATACTAGTTCAATGTCAGCAGAAAGTCAATGTTAATTTGCTGCATTTAAATTAATTCCTTAACCATCCACTTCATCCAAATTGGGAACAAAACCATTTTTTGACTGTGTTGCACATATTTTTCTTGTAGATATTTTAAAAAGGGGGTTTAAAAAAAACTGAAATGTCTGATGTATCTGTCACCCAATTTCAATGTTTCTGTTGTATATGGGTTGTTTTTACCATCACCAGTCAAGGCTTTATAAATTATTCAACGTTCTAGACCCCATGACCAGTCAATAATTCTAAATATTAATCCTTTTACATCGTTTTTGTTCTATTATTTACATAAAAACACAACAATCTGTTAAGGCTTTTAAATATTTTATTTAGAAAAGCAGGACTTTGCAGCCCATAGTCTGCTAAGAGCTAACAGGCTAATTGCTAACATCTTACAGCTAACATTAACTAGCTTTCCTCTAGCCAATTATAAAACATATTTGTGTAAGCAATGCAGTATTGTCACAGTAGAGTAGACCTTTGCATTGAAAAACCTGCCCCCCCCACCCTCTGTTGTGTCGGGGTCATCTGAACCCGCCCTAAAGGCAACAATCAGAGTAACCAGTACTTTCTCCACTTAACTCTGGATGAAGGCTACTGTACATGTATTTTTACAAACACACACAAAAGTGTTTTTTCGATTGAAAATCAATACAGTTTACCAAAGCATTGCAAAGCCACTGTGTGTATCCAGTAAATGCAAATGATGACTCACTGAAAAGTCAAAGATCAGCAAAGCAGGGCAGCTTTTAAAGTAATTCCCTTGACCAAATCTGGCAAGCAGCTACTTTATTGGAATGTGGAATTGAATGTGGAGTCTATTAATAATTTAGTCATATCTGACACTGCAGGGTTTGTATTATAGTTAAACTATACACTAAATGTTTGATAAGCATCATGTAATAATGCTGCTGTTAGTCTATATGTAAAGCAATACATTACACTATAGAGGAGTCATGCAGACACACACATCATCTTACCCGCTGGTGGGAGTGTGGCAGGTCTCCAGGTTATGGATAATGTTAAGCAGAGTAGTGATCCTGTCCTTGTTGGCTGCCAGGCTGGCCTCCACAGTCTCGAGCCTCTGCTGTAGGGCTGCTGATTTGCAGCACTGTGGGGAAGGAGGCAGCAACAGGGCTGCAGCAGCTGGCTGTGAGTGAGCCAGGCTGGGGTCCTCTGGGCACGGCTGAGGGGGGGCAGCGCTACATTTTGAATCCGCTCTGACGATCGCCTCTGCCTCGCAGGACGGGAGGCGGGAAATGGATGCCAAGAGCTTTGTTGATGACGGCAATATGGAATTGCATTCAGTGCCTGTGCGCATAAAACACTTTTCCTGGCTGTTAAAAGGGACTGGTGCAGTGAATGAAAGCTCTGGACTTTTGTGTGTTTGTGATAGGGATGAAGGTTCTGAATCAGAGGTTTGGAGAACTGAAGGTTTAATAATTGCCTCGACATGTGCACCAGTGTGTTTCAGTGATGAGAAAGTGGTCTCACAGTTTGATTGTGCTTTGGCAACTGGTTTTGAGTGATTGGGAAGTGTCCGTTCGTCGGCCTTATATTTAAGACTAATATTCGCATGCCTGACTGAGAATCCAGAGGAGAATTGTTCTGTTTTTGAATCCATCTCCTGGGCGCTCTTTACTGGTGGGCATGTAGTGGATTGTCCCTCATGTTCAGTGTCTTTGTATTCTTGATGATGCGTGCGCCTTTGTTGCCCTGTGTTCATGCAACCCCGGAGACAAGAGCTGCTTGACTTAATTAGGGAAATGTAATTCTGAAGGTCGGTGACCTGGGGCACATTTGAATTTTCATGGTCATTTGACTCATGCAAAACGAATTCATTGATTAGATTACCACTGAATTTATTTCCACGCGTATATGATTCAGTATCCGGAATAATGGCTGATTTAGGAGTTGGGGTGCTTGCATCACTGACTTTGATGTGATCTTTTGACACGTTTAGCTGCTCGGATAATGCAACCGGAGTCATTGTTGAGTTGTTTTCCTGATTGGAAACAACACCACACACACAAGATTCATTCCCGCTTTGAAACCTGCTGTCTGTTGCTAGTGTGTGATCAGGTTGAGGCGCGTCATTCCGATTAAGAACGTTGGTGGGTTGTGTTGTGTCTGCTGATTGCAGCAAAGCTGTATCTGTGGCACAGACGTTACTTTGGTTTCCTGTCAATGTAGATGAAGAGGTGGAGACAGTGTGTGGTGACGTTTTCAGATTGATTGAGGAGTACCTGAGGGCTTTATTTTTGAATAGAGCGCCGTTGCATGTAGATGTAGAACTGGGTGCTGCACTTGAAGGCAACCTAACTCTTGAGTCTTGGGGTTTTGTTTCACTAAATGTTGCGTTTACAGATACTGTGGAAACATGAAGCGCAGGCTCGGACTTTGAGGCGTTACGTAGAATCGGTTGGATCTGTGTAGCCACAGATTTACTTTCAGTGCTGGTATGATCTGAACTAGAGGTGCGATTCAAAGCATTCTGTGGGACAACAGTTCTGAGAATTGAATGTGACGCAGTTTTGTTTTGCATGGAAAATCTACTTGAGTTCATCGCAGTGTCAATAAAAGATGCTTTGCCTGGTGATTTTTCCTCGAAGCTTGATAGTGTTTCTTCTTGAGGGGTATATCCAGAATTGCGAGAGAAACGTGGTGGACTTGCAGGGTCTAATGCATTGGCTACTTGTAATAAGACAGGTCTTTTAGGGCTTATTCCCAGCCTATGAGTTGTATTTATTTCTACACATACTATTTCATGTTGCGCATTAGCAAATTTAGCAGGTATACTTTCAGTGGACGCCAGTACAGTATTAAAGTTTGTGATGGATTTGCGCGTGTTGGTAGTAGATGTGTTTTCAAATTGAGAAGATGGTGACAAATCTTTTTTATTTTGCGCCGAGTTGTTTTGTGGGTTTTCAAACTGCTTAGGATAAGTGTGTGTGTGTGGCTTGTTTGGTTTGGTAGCTGTTGCAAACTGCGGAGTCAGAGCGAGAGTTGTTGGTCGCGGGATTTTACCGCCTTGTGGCGATTTTGCTAAAGATTCTATACTGGCTTCCTCTTTTCTTGTTTCAATCGTTGCTTTAGTAAAAGTTATGATTTTGGCATTGAGGATGGTTGTGGGTTGAGGAGACGTTGCATCAATTGCAGCATGTGTCTCTGAAAAAGTGTCCAAATTGCCTTTAGAGTGCACTAGGCATGCTGGGTGTGGGGTATTTCCATACTTTAGTTCTTCACTAAAATATAACATTTGTGGATTAACGAGTGTCCTGTTGCCTCTGTTTGTGATGCTCTCTGAGATTTCATAATGGCTAGGCTTAAAGTTGTTCTCCATATTGGGCATCTGGACATGCGTGGTAGGCAAGACGGAGGCTGACTTCGATAGTTTCTCTGCGAGACAAGCACCAGTATTGGAGCTTTTCTCATTCTGTCTGCCACCGCAATGGCTGCATATTCTTTGTGGCATACCAAAAGGTCGGGCAGCAGATAACAGCAGCTTCCCACACCGCTCTGCATAATGACCTTGCAGTCCGGTTGGGTCTTTTTCACGAGAGAGCGCACTGTCGACAGACTCTGCCTCGTCGCTGTGAACGCTAATTCCGCCGATCGCCTCTGAATCTACCACGCTGCCGTTGGTGTAGCGGTGAGCAGATTTTAATTTAGACCTGACGTTGGTTACATTCCCAGCAAAGTGTGGGTTGGTCTTGATTGCCCTGGCATAGCAATAAGTCCCACTACTGTTCCTCTGACTGCAGGCCACATCCTCAGAGGCCTCACCTCCTAGTGCTTTGAAAGTCACTTCTTTTTTGGTCTTGGATTCCCCACTTTTCTGTTTTAAAATAACCCTTTTCTCCTTGTCAGTCTTTGTTTGAAGTAATATCTCCTTGTACACTGTTTCCTTGGTGATGTAGCTCTTGGATGTTTGAGTAATGCTATCCGATGGCGTAGAGAGTGTATCAGTTAACTGTACACTGTGCTGGGTGAGTGGTCTGCTTATCCCCGGGGATGTCTGAACACCCACGCTGCACTGAGGTCCCCATGTGTGCAGCAGGGCTCTGTCTACTCCTGTTGTTCTCCAACCACGCACTCCAACCAGGGCAGGGACACCCAAAACTGGAACTGGAGTTGTCAGGTCAGCGGCTCTTCTCCCCATCCCTTGTTTGGCTGTCTCAAAAGTCTGGTAATTCAAGAGAGCAGCGGTATTTCCATGTCATTACATCCGTCTAAAAAGTAAGAGAGGAACAAGTTTACAGTGGGAGGTGTTTGAGATGGTGCCATGAGAGAAATCTATGAGAAAGCAGGACAAGTTGAAACAATGCGCAGAGCTAGAACTGAGACGAGGGACAGCTTCAATGCCGCAGGAATCAAAGACAACTATTGCTGTCAGAAATGAAAGGCAGACTTGAGATAAGCCAGAAAGAATCACGCTCTCAGCTAAAAAACTCTCCCAACCTGGAGAAGCCTGAATAAGAAACATACATCTGTTAATGCTGATAAAAAGGTGGGCTTTGAAAATAAGTGTTTTATATTATATTAGCCCTTGACAAATACTGTCTCCTTTTAGTGCACAAAGCACAAATTAATTTATCGAATACAATTCAAAATGTTGCTGCTTTGGTAAACTCTGTCTCCTCTCTAATGGGAATGTTTGTCATAGCAAGCAGCTTTCACTGTGTTGTCCTCCACATTCAGCTCACCTTGGAAAGAGGCCATAATGTATACACACACTGATGCTATAGACTTCATTAAGCTTTGTGTGCATTTAACTGGAACACCCTTTCACACGGCTGGCATTTTGTGTGCGTGTGTGTGTGTCTATGACACTCACAAATTCACATGTGCCAGTATTTTCGTGTGCGAGAGGTCATTTTAATAATTTACGCAACAGCAGTTCCGTAGTCACCAACGGGGCTTTAATGTGTGACTCTTTTTGTGCATATTAACAGGCAGTCTATCATTACACACTGAAAATGCAGTGTGAATGTTTGGGCTCGCGAACGGTGATTTATGACAATATTTTCATGCAAACACATTCTGACAAGGCTCCTCTCCATCCCCCTCAACAGCCTTCATACAGGGATGTCAGAATTGCAAAAAGGAGAACATTTTGAGATCTTTATCGGTACAGACTATTATTATTATTTTGGTTTTCGTGTCACCTAATGTTATTTACTGTACGCTCAGTCAAGTGACCTGTCTGTTGTCACCACCGTTTAATGTGATAATTGTCCTGCCCTGTTAATGCACAATTAAATTCTCCTTTGCCGGGGTGAAATATATACATGCTCTTTCAGTGCCACACACTTTCTTCACATGATCAAGACTAAAGAAAACAGAGCTGTTTCTCAGCACATTCCTACCAAATGTGTTTGTATTATTCTGTTAAGCAGGCTTACCTGAGTGTTTGTTTTGATCCTGCTGCGAGTTGTCTTGTTTTCTTGAGTCCAAATGTCAGTAGCTACTTTTACGCCTTCTGTTTTATGTCCTCATTGATCCATCACATTTTGGAGTGACTTTGTCTTCATATATCCAATCCCTTGGTGGTAGAAAACAAACTCATAGGAGTCTGCAGGCGGTCCTTCTGCAAAGCATCGATTCTTGATGAGCCCTCAATTCTGAACTAATCTACCTTTCATTGATCAGGCATAAAGCCACGCTGTGTCCTCATTGTATCCCCTTCTCCTCTTGTTTTGGTCCTGCTGCTCCATGCTCACTCCATAATCACAACACAGCAGAATGTTACTGTGTGCTGCCCTCCAACACTCTCTGTCTACTATGTCTTGCCTTTTTTGCCTCCTCCTCCTCCACTCTCTCCCTCACTCTCTCCCTCTCACCCCCTCTCTTTTTTCTGCCACAATCCTCTTCCCCAGCATTCATGTATCCTGTTCTACAGCTGGGTGGAGAACGAAGAACAGAGCGAGGGAGAAAGAGAGGGAGAGAGAGGAAGTGACTTGCATCAGTGCGGTAGGGACTGTGTGTAAATTACCATGCAGGTGAAAAAGCAAGGAAAGTCATTAACAATGATTTAAAAAGATTTCATTTTTACGACAACTCTATCCAGGTATTTTCTGCTACCAGGACATTATTATTATTGTCACATATGTTACATCAGGAAAGATGTATACTGTTTTCAGAACTTAATTAATTTAGTATTTTATACTGTATTGTGACTGCTAATTTACTTTTTTGTGGAGTCTGAGTGTGGCATCAGGGGCAGCAAGTTTTAATACAATAAACTATTACTAATTACATTTTTATGACCAACATTGGTTTATGGTTTCATACACGTATATAGTGTTTGGGAGGTGTTGTTGTAACATAAACACAAACTAAACTGGACATAGTCACATGATGTCACCTATTGGTTTTTGGAGTAGCGTTTTTTCATCACTACGGTAAAAAATTAAGGTATAGTAATTATTTAATAGGCTTCTATACAATCATCCTTCTTTTCGCAAGCAGTAGAGTCGCCCCCTGCAGGCTATTAGCAAGTAAACAGGGTTGAGGCACTACATTTACTTTAGAGTTACTTACTTACTTTAGAGTCCAGAGTTTGCATTTTTCAGATTCAAACAAACATTATTGCATTGAATAAACATGTTTACACGCACGCACGCACCCACACACCCACACACCCACACACCCACACACACACACACACACACACACACACACACACACACACACACACACACACACACACACACACACACACACACACACACACACACACACACACACACACACACACACACACACACACACACACACACACAGGCAGATACATTCATGCCATTGATAATAGGGGCATGATTAAATTAAGTGAAACACCTGAATTACTGTAGGCCAGGGGTTCCCAAACGTTTTCTGTCAGGCCCCCCCTTTGGACAAAAAAAAAAGTCGGGCCCCCCCAACACAAATAGTCAGGCTCAGTGGCGGCGCCAGAGATTTATTTTGGGGTGCTGTGGGGTAGCTTGACGTTTCATAGAGGGTGCCCAAACATTTAGGGTTTCCCATTAATGTACCGGGCGCGACAGTGGCATTTTCTACTGCAACACTCCCCACGCAAATAATAATTGTTTACATTAATCGTGACCAAAACGTTTGAGACCCACTGAGATAACTTAGACTAAAGTTAACTATCTAAACACTCAGAGAGTCCTTTAGTTCACTGAGTCTCTCAGTCTGACAGGAGAGGACTCTCCTCCACTTTGTTGTTGAAAAAACTCTTTATATCCGTTAGCGTAGCTCGCTAGCACCAGAAGCTAACAACTACGATCTCCGGTACCGGTGCGCTCTCTCTCTCTCCAACCCAGTCTCATGGCATTTCGTGTTCACCAACACAATTTTTAATCTATTGATTCGTGTTCACCAACACGATTTCCCCCTTTTTTTCGTGTAGCACAGCACGATTTTAAAAGCAATGTATTTCTACTGGTAATGTGTTTCGTGCCTGCAGCACGTCTTTTTCTCCGGTCAGGTCGTGGAAGACAGGAAGCTGTGTGGTTCATAAAAACATGTTCTTACTCAATATCAAGCCACAGTTATTGCTTTTATTTTAAATCGTATAATGTCGGACCTTTGTTGCCGTCTGTGAGGAAAATAAATGGGGCTCAGAGACTCAGAATACTGAAATCTGTATTTAAAAAATAAATAATTTGTTATTCTTTTCAAAATAACACACTGTTATTTACTCACCAATAACACACAATTATCCTTGCTTTTATTTATTGGTTTAATTCCATAATCTCGGGCTTTTTTTGGCGTCCGTCAGGAACTGAATTTCAAAATAAAAAATAACCGGAAACAGACGTAGGCATTTCGGGCGATTACCCAAGATCCTCAGCTATGGTTTAAGCTCGCTGATTGGATGTTTTAGCCGCAATGCATGCTGGGATTTGGTGTTTATATGATATGAAATCCGGAAAACATTTAAAAAGAATAAAATAATACTTAATTCCGAGTGTTCTTGCTTTTCTCTTTGAAAGTCATCACATAACGGCATTGTAATACACGGTTCGGCTACATTACATATTACAGATCTGCCGTAGTTCTTTATTTATAGAGCCCTGATCAGAAGACCTTTGGAAAAACTGGAAGAAATGCCGCAGAAACTGAATACTTGACGTGGATCATAAATATATTCAACAATTAAACAACATCTTCAATTTCTCTTCACACAATACGTCTCCTTGCAGTATCAACATTAATTCGGCTGACTTTTACATTTGATCTAATTCATAGATAGGTTATATTTACACCATAACGGTGCACAGCTGATATAAAAGGACTTGTAGTTTTTAAAGATATTACTGATTTTCTTTGAATATAAGAATGTACATACTGAGTCTGAAATAGTATAGCAATATGCTGTAAAATTATGTGAAAGCATGAATAAAACTACACATTTTCAGATGTTGTACATACATAAGTGTCCTACACTAATAATACAAAGTTATTATTGCTGTGTGTACCTTGTGTGCACCGCCTAGTGGTTAAAGCACGTTATTGAATTATTGTTTTTATGTGTTATATTTTAATAAAAAAATATTAAGAGTACATACTTTCATAGGGGGAAAGTAGAAGGTCTGTGATAGAAATATAGAATATAAAAAATCAAGAAGATACTATAAGTCAGGGGTGCCCAACCAGTCGATCGCGATCGACCGGTCGATCGCGGGGAGATTCCCAGTCGATCGCGAGATGTGTCTAAAAATAGAACAACAATATTCTGTTTTATCGTTAATGTCCTGTAACATAATCTTCCTGTGCCAGAATAATGCACTTGAACGCATCAAAGCTTTGTGATTGGCCGGCGTGACCCCATGTGTCGGGGCGTGGCTGGTGAGCAGTGGGCAGTGCACTAGTTCGCTAACGTTGTCCGTGTCAACAGGAGTGACAGTCCGCACACACACACAAGACCGCAATTATGGCAGAAGCAAAACATATATAATTTTCACTCCGAGTGGGAGGATGATTATTTTTGTATCTATTCCAATTCAAAGTCCATCTGTCTCATCTGCAATGCGAGCGTGGCTTTATCGAAGAAGGGTCATTTAGGAGCGGCATTTCAAAACAGTGCACAAACGCTACGAGACGGAATTCCCTCCTAATTCTGCCCTACGCTCCAAAAGGGGAGGGGCCTGAAAGGACAGCTAAATGCAAAGCAGTCCATTTTCACCAGGTCAACAACAAGAGCAAGGCTGCTACCAGAGCACCTTATCGTGTCAGTCACGTTCTTGAGAAACACATGAAGTCTTTCAAAGACGGCGAAGTTCGATGCGTAATACAAATAACAGTAGCATTTCAACAGGTTTTTGATATGATAAAAACTCAAGTTAGATACCGTTATTAATCAGCTGTAAGTTTGAGTTTGTTTGAACTTATTCATTATAATTATTGTACAAAATGGTATAAGAATGCAAACTTAAATTGATTATAGTCTATTATCAATTCAGGTTAAGAAACTATGTTGCTTGCATCCTATTTTAAAGGCATTTATTTTTATAATCTACTAAAATGCAACAAAAAAAGGGTTTGATTCTATTAATGTTGTCTTTTTTATTGCACTGTTGCAGCAGATTCCTGTGTAGCTTCAGATCTGGGTTGTCTTATTAGTAAGCCTAATTTATACTTTTGTAGCAACACTATTTGTATATAATGGCAAAGAAAGGTTCAGAGTCTTTTCTTTTTTCCATGTGTCATATGTGGCAGCACTGTTCAATGTTTCTTGAAAACATTACCCACTGTAGTGACGTGTGAATAAACACCAACTCTGTATCAACAACACTGTTGTGTAACTTCAGTTAAATACTTGTATGTGTGTAGATTAGAAAGAGGTAAGATAAAGGATCTAAAGTAGTTTATGGAGTATTAATCGTACGAAGGTCAGTTTTATACAAGTAGAAGTGTGTATTTACCTGGTAGTAGGCTGTCAGTAATGGCTACGCCTCTCTATTTGGACTGGTAGATCTCGGCAGACTGGCAATTTTAAAAGTAGCTCTCGGTTCAAAAAAGGTTGGGCACCCCTGCTATAAGTGATCTCTACAATAAAACAGTTTAGTGCACGATGTACAAAGATATTAATAGGAGGAGGTGCAAAACAGAAAAACGAATTAACCTTTATTTAAACATTATATAATACTTTAGATTAAGGTCTTCTTTTAAATAAGAAAAAAACTTTGGGGGTACAGATCAATATTAAGCCTGACAAAGTACTTAACGTCTAACATATTGCTTTCCTGCAATGTTAACTATGTTGAAGCACTTATTTTAACTGATATTATACATATGAATTATACTCTTATGTCTGTAGATAGAATAAGAAATGTGCAGAATATGACAGTTTAATGGTGGAGGTATACACACATATTGATAGATGTCTTGTAATGCGCTGTTGAGGAACCTGTGACCCAAGATCTTCATTCATTGCATACACCATGTATATGATATGATATGTCACTAAACCTTTGAAAATCTTGAAAGGGATGTGCAAAATAGCCATAATATACAGTCTTTAATTAACTATTAGTAGAGAATAACGAATAATGAATATACTTTATTACTCGTTTCCATTCATGTAAATTGCAGATAAATGTTTAGTCTTCTCAAGAACCAACTATCAAATATCTCTCCTGATTGTTGGCACTTGACAATCACCTTCCCTGAATTTTACTCAGGTGTAACTAAAGTCTGATTTAAGGGTTGTTTATATTTCACATAATTAATCAGAATCTGCAAAGTAACTCAAATAAATGTAGTGTAGTAAA